TGTTTAAGGTACTGCAAGCAATCACTTGCGCTTGCTTCTGGGTCTTTCAAATTTTCCAAAATTCTCGCCATCATTCTGACTTGCGACGCTTGAATTCGGTCTTCGACGGATAACGCTTCGTTACAGAATGCTTTGGTGGCATTTTCACGCGCGAGTTCGAACGATTTTATGGCAGATTTAAAGCGTTCCTTGGAACGTATTTTCAATGACGTGATGGCATTTAAAAGGGCAATAACTTCGTTGATAGGAGAATCAGGACCAGTGTCTCTGAATGACGCAGCTTCGACTAAGGTTGCTTGTTTGGGCGATTCCGCTGTATTCTCACTTGAATCCACTTGAAATAGGGACTGATATAACCTATTGACTCCTTCTTGTAGAAAACAAAAGCTACTCAGTAAATCCTTTCTTGCCAAACCATCCAACTTGCTTTTGATATCGTCAAGTTCGCTGACGATCAAGCGCCGACATTCTTCGTCAGTGACGTCGCCATCTTTCAAACGTTCTGCAATTCCACTGCGAATCTTGTTCGCTAAAAAGCCAAATGTAAGTTTCACAACACCGGTTACTACCTCAGACATTTTGAAAATCAGTGAAGCATTCGCCAAACAATCGTGATATTTAAGGCCAATGAAAATTGATATCATGTTTCTTGTCCCCGCCCGCATGGGATTTATCTGCCGCACGAAAATTTTTCATTAATCATTATTAATTAATTTTGAAAAATAGGCTAAACAAAACACCAAATTGATCTCCAGATCAAAGTCTTGTTGCTGCATTCCGCAAGCGCAACTCAAATTGTATCTTTCTAAAGATATTACTTGCCAGAATGCCTCTATTTTTCATGTCAGCCCTGGTATGTATAGAAATATACTGTAGTGTAGGACGTATTAAATTAAAATTAATTATACACCGATTTACTTCAGATTTTTATGGGGTTTTTTACAGGGTCAAGGAAATTATTGACAAGCAATTCAAATACAAAAAATAATGAAAAATGAAAAATGAAAAAAATCCCGCTCCAAGTTTTTGAAAATTGTGGACGATAAACATGATATCAATTTTCATTGAGATCGGAAGAGCGTC